TATTTATTTGATAAAAAATAAACATAGGGTAATGTGAATTTGTGTAAGTTTTAAATTCAAATGGCTTTATCTTTATGAGGTGTGTTAAAGAATAATATAAATCATATCTTGAAATCTTATCTAACAGGAGTTCAGATGGTTCTTTGATAATCATAAATTTGAATAGACTCTTAATCCAAGCTATGGCTTTAACTTGAGAAGGGTTATTAAAAAATAATATAAATCATATCTTAAGATTTTATCTAATAGGAATTCAAATGATTCTTTGAATAACTATAAATTTAAATAGACTCTTAATTTAAGTTATGAGGATAAATATCTCACTCTACCGAATTGGTTTTAGAAAGGGAACATGGTAGTGTGAGCTCCTCTTCTCTTCCTCTTTTTCTTTTTTTTTTCTATTTCTTTGAATATTTATGAATGACTTTAAATCAAACCACATTCCTTCTCTTTATATATATAGTCTTAATAGTTGACTTTAAATCAAACTGCATTCCTTCTCTTTATATATATAGTCTTAAGAATGCAATCAATGTATTAGCTTTCATGTATTAAGAATAATAAATCAAACTCTTCAAAATAAAAAATAAAATATCAAAGTTGGGACTGAAAGATTCATAAAAAAATTATTTTTCATAGCTTGAAATGAAATTTAAAAATAAATAGCTAATCAAGAATAGAATATATACCCCTAACCATCAGGCTCGCCTTCCAAGTTGTATATTACGGATTTTATATTTTGATACTAAATAAATAATTATGACGATGAACACAGATCATAACCAATACTTAAGAATGGCCTTGATTTTTCGATGATGATAGAGTTGCAAGAAGTGTTGTCGTGAGCGATGTGTTGCTTAGGAGCGACAGGCCAAACGTACGTAAGCGCAAACACGTGGGCAGTGGCCTGATCCAATTTATATTTATATTTTTTATGTTTTTAATATTTTTAATTTGAATTTATTTTTTTAATCCTCCAAAATTAATTCCTATTTTGATGAAAAATAAATAAATTATTTTCAATGTATTTTGGATGATGTGTAATTGTGTATCCTTACAACTACTATGCTAAAAATGTGAATATAACATAAACATTTATTTAATAAAAAAGCTTATGCAACATACTATGGATACAAAATGAAATATTCTCCTATAATAATTTTATTGATTTTAACAAATCAAATTAATTTTTTAATATAAAAAATTATGCAATAGAGAAGTTAAAAAAATAAAAATATTTCGCTTGATTTTAAAAATAAAATTCAATTTCACAATCGCCAATGAAAAAATGAGTTTTATTAAAATTCTCCTCAAAATGAAGTTAGAACCAATTTTTATTAAATTGTTTTTCTTAGTAGTGAAGTCAATGACATATATATTCTACTAAAATTAAAATACATAAATATAATTTAATGTTTATCATATTAATATCTTTTTTAGTAGCCGATAATAATTTATGGTAGATGAGCTTGTATGATATTAATATATATTTTTTTTTCCAGTTTTAAATTTAAACTATTGGATTTTTAATTAATATTTACTTTAATTGTCATAAAAGTAGATTAAAAAGAAAAAGAAAGGGTATTGAAAGCGGACCTGCAGCCTACAGGAACACGCAAGGGCATTTTCCAGTGTAGAACCAAAACATTCTTGATTTAGTCTTTTGAAAAAGGAAACATTGTCAATTGTCAAATCTAAAATCTGTTTTATTGCTTAATCTTCGAACTCCATTCGAGGATCCAGCTAGAACCCACAGAATTTAGGGTTCTATTTAGAACATTGAAGCAAGAAATTAGGAGAAGCAATATACCATAATCAACAGGAAAGTTTCTTCTTCTTGCTGTAGACAAAATCCTGCAGCACTGGTCCCGTAACCTTGTAGATATGATCTATTGACCTAAACCTCTTGTTCCTTCTCTTGGGATAAATCTCTACTTCTTCTTCTTCTTCTTCTTCTTCTTCTTTAGAGATGGTATAAAAAAGTGAATGGTGATTGCTTGCATCACCCTGATATGATCTTTGTTCTGCTTCTTCTTTCTTGCTGTTTTTGACCTTGATCAGCTTGTCATCCCTGTTGCTCATCTGTACTAGTAGCCGAGCCAAGTCTATTTCTAGCTCTGAGAAGCTCACGATCATCTTCTGAGTTCTTCTATCTTTGCATGACACTGGAAATTTAGCCATCGTATTTTGTCGCCGGAGAAGAGAAGAGGGAGAGAGGGATGCTTGAGTTTGGAGATTTGGTCTGATCTTGCGTATTTATACAGGAGGAGACATTCAGCATCCGTGTCTTCCTGGGAATTGATGAATTATAAGTCGGTAAAGAAAAATGATTTTTTAAAATTTTTTGTTTCTTTTCAGGCGATTATGGGATTGAAACTTAACGACATGTGTCAGATCAAATAATTTTTAATATAAAAATATTAAGATAATGATAATACTTCTATATAAGTCGAAGAAACACGATGGTGTTAAGTTATTACTTGATTGTATTTGATAAACTTAATTAATCTAATACTATGATTAAAAAAAAAGAGGTAATAATATCACATAAATCATACAAAATAAATTGATATGAGTTAATCCGTGGATTAGCTTGTCAATCATATAATTTATTTGATATATGAAATTAGAATAATTCAATAAAAAAATAAAATAAAATTTAATTTTCAACAAATCTAATATTAAAAAAAAATTAAAAAAAAAATTCAATTGTAAAAAAAGTTTAAAAAAATCATAAATTATTTTGCGCCAATTGTAAAAAGAGTTTAAAAAAATCATAAATTATTTTGCGCTAACCTTTTAAACTAATAACTCAGATTTTGAGATCGAAATTATTTCATAGAAAGCAAAATTGAAAAAATCAGGAGATCAAATCTTCAATTAATAAAATACTAAAAGATGAAATTAAAAACAAGATTTTTAATAAAAAAAATTCAAAACAATAAAGATCAAAATTGATATAAAAATAAAATGAAATAAAATGTTAAGGGATGAAACTAAAAAACAAACTAAATTTTAAAAATTATTAAAAACAAAGTAAATAGCAATTAAAAAAATAAAGATCAAATTTAATAGATGAAAAATTAGAGGATAAAATTGAAAAAACATTTCACTTTTATAAATTGTTTTAAATAAAATAAATGATAATAAAAAAATAAAAAGTTATTGTAAAAATTTAGATGATAAGGTGCGAAAAATGAGGAGAATAAAAAGATTAAAAAAAAGGTTGCTAACATTAAACCAGATGTTTATTGAGCACATATGCATACCCAAAATCAAAAACCATCAGAAAAGCTAGCCCTTATCCACCAGCTAACATTGTAACCTTCATCCAAAGAGTAGAGGCTACCCCACAAGTCGACAACTTTTCATTTGAAATTAATAATTTATATTTATTAAGATTCCAAAATGTTCCCCGATCAACTACATTATAATAAAAAAAAAAACTATAATGAAAATATAAAAAAGACTTTGAATACCAATTAGAAAAATTAATTTTAAAGATAATTGAGTTATCTTACTATATTATTTTAAAGAAAAAGTTGAAACAACCTCTAAATGCCAAATTGATATTTTTTGCTTTAAAAGATAAGTTAGTCATTTAATTGTCTAAAATAAAATGAAAGTACCATGTTACCTCTAATAGTCAAGCCAATTGTTTTTCTTGAGAAGGGCTAAATCAAAATTTTATTTTTCTAATCTACATTGTCAACAAGTCTAGGTCCACGGTAAATTTGCTATAGGAATTGTGCTTTCTCTTTTATTTTCTTTATAATTCTACCAAAGAAATTATATTTATTAAATTTTAAATTAAATTATTTATGTTGACCTAGTTTAGAGAAGGTCCCATCGCAATGCCAATTGAATCAAGATTTTTTTGAAAGTAAAAAATTAGTTGAGTTATTAAAACTATTTCACATTATTATTAAACTTAATTCAGGATATCAATCTTATAATTTCTCATCCCAACTCATTACCTATCAAGGTATAAAACTAAATCATATAAAAATTGCCTTAACATGACTCAATTGGCTTGGTAGGTCTAAAAGTAACACAGATAATTGATAAAAGATATAATTTGGATTTTTTTTAAAAAGAAATCAATATGATTTTTTTTTTAGTAATGAGATGTTCAAATATTGGATTGACTTAAATTTCGCGGTTTAACCCATCAAATTCATGATTTTGGTGATGGACTCTACTAGATTTAATAATTTTAAAAAAAAATATTTTTTTTTACTTAATTATATGATGATGAACTTTTGTTTTGAGATTACGATAATCTCATAAAAAAACAAACTAAAAAAATGTATAAAAACAAACTTTAAATTAAAAAAATATTAAATGACGAAAATGAAAAACTAAAAAAAAAAAGAGAATGAAAAAAAAACCCCTCCTTCACAGTTCATATAAACCATAAAGGAGGAGATAGGAAATTTAACTTTTACTTTAAATCAATATCTAATTTTTTTTTCATAAAAAAAATAAAAAATAAAAATCAGTAAACATGGAATATGGCCGTCTTTTTGTGTAATTCAGATGCTGTTCTTTTATTGATAGAAAATCTTCAAAACACTGATTATTTTTACAAAAGATTTGTTTGATGGCATGGTGTTACATGGTGCTGTGCGGTCACCAGACATTACACAAACCAGTACCCAGTAAAAATATCAACTTTGTGCCTCCCTCAGCTCATCCACGGCAGCTTCAAGCGTTTCTGTGACATATTCTTCAACTTGCAATCCCTTCTAAGGTTTTGACAACTGGTATCCTAAACGCAAACTAACCTGTAGAGAGATGGGACGTCATGGTTCCATTAACAAGAATAAAAACAGCAAATTCAAGTGTTGAAGGAAACTTCCAAGTATTTTGGGCTCTATCAGAAAGAATTCCCTTCCCACCCTACACGGTTGAAGTTCTCTCATACACTATTATATATATTTGTAATAAAAAAGAAAAAGATTTGATAAGAATAATTCTCTCATACACTATTATATATATTTGTAATAAAAAAGAAAAAGATTTGATAAGAATAAAATACACAAAAAAATTGATTTGCCATGAAGCAACTCTAGCTGATTATGTTACCTAAACATATTTCACAGCCGAAAACTGTCCACGAATTACAAATCAATGACAGTAAGAGCATGTAGTGCTTCCAAGTTATGTTGATTATCCCCATCAAGAAATATCAAGTCTTCGCACTCTTTACTGCATGAAACTGTCTTCGCTGTATCATCCACTCCATCACAATCATCCTCGTCATCATTCTTGTCAGCTTCATCATAGTCATCCTCATCATCTGTTTCATCATCACTGCCATCCTCATCTGCAAACCTAGAAGCCCCGTTAATGATTTGTATACCACAATCATCTGGATATCCTACAAGTTGACTGGCTTCCTTTAGTTCATCCTGTGTCTTGGCCAGAGATAGAAGAATGTTCTGTGCCTTCTGGTCAGGAGGGACCCCATGATGCTCCATTTCCTTGTACCAAATAACAGCACTGCCAAAATCCTTGTTCTTACCATATGCGTCCATTATTGTAGTGAGAATTGTCTGGTTTGCTTTGATACAGTTTAACTGCATTTCTTCATATATTTCCATCATCTTTTCAAGATTATTTACCTTGGCATGCCCTTTGATCAGTGCCCCATAAGTGACGACATTGGGTTTAAGACCATCCTGTCTCAGTCTTTTGAAGAAATTTTCAGCACCCTCCATATCAGAAGCATTCACATATGCTGATAACATCGTTGTATAAGAGCAAAGATCTGGGGTGCATCTGCATTACATATAGACAGATGTATGCCATCTTCAATAAAAAGTTGGACCAACATACAACTTGCACAAACAGAAGTACTTGCAATACGTGCAGCTGGACTCACTTTCTATAATCTGTTTGTATATGCATGTGATTGGTCTATTACAGTGATTAAACTTGTAGAGTGGTATCCTTATGGGCCAAAATATATGAATGTAACCTTGAAATTTGTGGCTGTATTTCAAAATACTCAAAGTGTGGACATATGGGATACATAAAAGAAAAGAGAATACGGTATGCCACCCCAAGATCAATTGATATGTTATGTAGGCCCTGTTTGTTTATAAACAAACATACACGTAGATTGCTTAAACAGAACTCCACCAGTAACATCATATTGAGAAATGAACTATGTTTGTTTCAGATTGGAAAAACTTACCTGTCTCTTCTCATGCTCTTGAACACCACCCGAGCTTGCTCCACCATTCCGGAGATAGCAAATGCATCGAGCAAGATGTTATAAGCTTTGTGGCTTGGCCTACAAGATAGCACAACAGTATGGTAACTCCCACAATTAACAATATGCTATTAAATTTACAGCATTATCTAGCTGATGAACAATGAGCTCCAGACTTGTCTTGTCGCACAGTAAGCAGAAAAATCTGAAACAGAAATATGAAAACTTAAAAAAACTTCAATCTAAAACATGATGCTGACAAAAGGTTTATCCCGCATACAACAAGATGTGTTGGACTAATGGAAGGTCTTTTCATCAGTTTTTCTTCCTGGTCGGAGTTCACTAGATGATAGTTAATGCTTGTGTTAGATTGGCTCATATCTAATGTTTAAGGGAAAGTTTCACCTAATGCAACACATCTTCAACCTGTGTAAACCATAAGTGCTTGAAAACTTCTATGAATCATGTTGAAAACTTGACTAATAATGAGAAGTCTTTTTCAAGGACTTGAGTTTCTTGAATTTATTTTTGATAATTATGTACATGCAATTGTGAATGCATTTTGGCAGGAGAAGGGGGGATTAACACAATTATCACGATAGAACTCAAACCATGCGCTAACTGTCTAACATCATTACAGAAAATAAAACTTGTAGTTTCTACTCACCTGACACCAGCATCCAGCATCTCTTCAAAAACAGCTAAAGCTTCTTCTTCCCTTCGAGCTCTCCCATAAGCTTTAATGAGCAATGCGTAGCTCACAACATCAGGTCGAAGGCCAGATCTTTGCATCTAGAATTATGCAATTTACTTCAAAATCTGGTAAGTTTATTACAACAGGATAATAAAAGGAAAGACAAAATGGAATACTGAATAATAGATAAATCAAACCCTTAATCACCACAGAAACCTTATAAGACTATCTGGGCATGTCTAAAAAGTTGGGTAGTAGCATCCATGCACAACCAATTAAGTTCTTCACTCAAATGCATGGTAAAATATTCATCACAACCATCTTGATGTATGATTCAGAAACAATTTTCATCCATTCCCTCACATGTACCACATATCTTATTACATCCTGATATTAAAAAAAAAAAAAAACAATTAGCACTTCCAAAGTTCTGCATCCCAGAAAAATTCCCTCAGACCGATTGAAAATGACCAACTGTCTTGGCCTCAGGAAGAAGGCCACTAGCAAGCATGCATATTACATTTGAAGTCTAAAGAAACCCCCCTTTTTTTTCCTGTTAACTTCTATACTAGCATACCAAAAGATTGTTCACCCTCTCGCTACTGAACAGTGTCTCAAGAGTATTGGTAACATTGGATGTAATTGAATATTGACTTGCATAGTCAAAATGTCTCTTTTTTCTGAATCCAAGAATATGAAATATAGATTAGATAATTCCTCGAATATTACCTGGTCATAGATCTTCGAAACCTCCTTATAATTAGTTTCAAATGACATTAGACTGTTATAAGTAACAGTGGATTGTGGAACTCCTCGCTCAGCCATCAGCGCAAATACTTTACGAGCCTTTTCATAATTCCCAGCCTTTTTCTGCATATATATCATCATATGGAACATTTTTTGATCTGGTTCCAAAGGTGATTTTTCTTTATTGAGAAGAGTCTCAAAAACTTCTTCAGCTTCCTTAAATTTGTTTCCCTGGAGTAAAATCCCAAAGAAAATCACTAAACTGAAAGATGTATCAAACAAAAGCATCCACTTTGTGATTGAAGGCCCATGAAAAGGATAACCCAAGGAAAACAATTACGGATAGTAGCATGTCCAGTCATTTGCATCCCATATACCTTAACCAAAAAACCCGAAGGTACTCTACCTTAAATGGGTAATAATCTGACGAGATGTAAAAAAGACAGTTACTCCAAGAAAAGTGCTTTCATTGAATTACATATAAATCCATATAAAATCCCACATTTACAATCATGAAAAGCGATGCAGAAAACCTCCAGCTGGTTCTACATGCATAGACACACAAATCACAGTCGATATCTATGTAGAATTCATAGTATTTCACTAAGGGTCCATTTGAATGAGTTTTTCCTATATTTGCTTGAGATCACTACACATTGAAACCTCTGAAACAGATACATAAATCAAGCATGCACTCATTCACACGCACATAAAACTTGTCTTTTCCTTGAATTTGATGTGAATGTGATGACATGGAACCTCTGAAACATAGTGGTATGGACACTCATTCACACAGTACACCCATAAGCAAAACATAACTTTCACATTTTAATCCTACTTTAAGCTGCAGACTAAATTTTAATAGCAAATGTGAAACAATAAATGCAAGTTTTTGAGACTTCTAAAACGTGAAATGGTGATGGTCAAACTCTCTTTAGTTCTGCGCCTATTTCATGATTCAAAGGTTCCAACCATGCCAGGGAGAAATTAAATACTTCAGCTGTCAACCTAGCCCAAATTTCTAGGGGCATTGCAATTTCCTTTGTCATTGTCTCATAAGATAGGTACATAGCTTAGTATTTTAATGAGTTCATTAGAATATGGATCACAAAATCTGAGTTTGAAATCAAACTCACAAATAAGTCAAGTAAAAACACAACTGCAAACAAAGATGAGGTGTTTTTAGAAAGGTACGCTACCTCAACAAATGTTTTTAGTATTATTTGATACGTCAAAGCGGAGGGCTCAGGGCCTGAGGTCTGCATCCTCCGAAAGATGGCTTCAGCATTGTTATATCGGCCTCCTCTTCCATATGCCTCCATAAGTGCAGTGTGTGATACAACATTTGGCACATAACCATTCCCATTCATAGATCTCAAAACCATTTCAGCCCCATTGAAATCCCCTAGCTTTCCATAAGCAGTGATAAGCATAAGGAAATCCATTTCGTTGAAGTCCCACCAATGCTGTGACTGAAGCCATTCTAAAATCTAGCAGATAAAGTAGATTAGCATGCAAAACACAGTCAAACATCCAAATCATAGAAACACTATCAGGAATGAGTTTGGGACAGCTACTTAATTTTTTTGTCATAGAAAAGGAGAAATTAAATCAATGAGCCACCTCTTATATATCCCTGTTCCTAAAAGAAAAAAAATGCTACCTAATAGACACAAGGTTCCTTAAAACCAAAATGCTGACACCCTAGGTTTGATAAACAAGCATAACCATATTTTTCCTTCTGAAATAATAGAACAGTCGAGATGATCAATTGAAACAATACATAGGCTACGTCTTTAAGAACCAGTCGTTCTCATACATCCCAATCTTTATGAGAGGGATTTTTCAATCCATCATATGATATGAATACAATCTATTATCCTCAGGAAGTGATTGAGCACTAAACCCTGAAAGGTACTGTAACCCAGTCACAACTCCTTGTGCTTAGATTCATAATCTGAAATTCACTCTATAAATGGTCAAAATCTTTTAACTTTTCCTCTCTTGAGTTTATACTGCTCATAATTATCTCAACAATTGACACAAAAAGCACTAGCTCCTTTATTGCATACCTCACTAACAAGATCCCATTTCTTTAGCTGCTTAAACCTAACTAATGTGCCCAAAACCAGGTCTCTAGGAAGACCATCTTTCTTGATTCTCTCCCTTCTAAGCACAGAAACTGCAGAACCTGTATCCTCGATTTGCTTCATCAGTCTCCTCCAATTCTTCTGATCAGCCTCATCGGACGCATCTTTAAATACTTCCACTTTCCTTCTCTTTTGCAAAAACTTTCTAGGAGACAACATACCCATAGACACTACTTCCAATCTTCGATGGATTTTAATGTTTGCGATGAAAGGATTAGCATGCATTTTTGGCTGGCTGAAACATAAAGCAATATACAAGCACTGTTATCTCTCTACTATCAAAACAAACCTCGAAAAAATAGACCCAACAGGTGCTTTTCATGTTTGAAAAAAAAAAATTTCTGTAGCCCAGTTTCTTTAGAAATAACAAACAAAGAAGCACCACTCAGCTCAGAAATTATTTTAAGCAATAGAATTCGTTGATGCAACTAACAAGAAGCAACCCAATAGCATATAAGGAGACACCATTTGCAATGACAAACACACAAATCATCACATGACCGGACCACGATATGGCTTGTGATAAGATGCAGAATAATCTGATTCCCACTTCAAAAATGCTACTTTTGAGGTAAAACTTTGTTTATTTTCAGTGGAAAGAAACATTCACAAGCTAAGAATTCAAAAAATTCAAACTTTTCACTCATTTCTTTATAAACCACCTGAAAATTGAACGACCACTTTCTTTCTGCGTTAAATCCATAAGGGTCAGTTTCACAAAAAAAAAATAAAATCTTTCTTTCTTGCCAAAGATAAGATAGAAGGACACAAAACTGAGGTAGGGAGAGAGGGAGAAGGAGAACAGACCTCCAATTACTAGAAGAAGCAGAGATACAGGGCCTAAGAGATAGGGCTGGGGCCATTTCTTCTATGCAAAAATATCTAATGCCAAGCCAGCTGGGTACTTGCTCGGCTCTTCTTCTTCTTCTATCTTTCCACTCTACCTATGAATTATCTTTATGCAGGGTGCCGAGTAGTGTATTTGCAAGCGCTTCTTGACTGTTTTCTTTCCGATAATTCTCCTTAATTTTCGTTTCTTCTATTTATAATTAAAGATATTAAATCCGGCTAAGTCAACAAATCAATAATTTAATTGGAGTTTAATGGATATCAAGATAATATATAAGAATTTTTTTATAATTATTTTACTAAATAAATAAGAGTTAGGGTACATGCCGTATCAAACTCGACTTAAAATCTATAAAAACCCTGAAATATATATTTATATTATATAAATATATTTATAGAATATTTAAACTTTTTTAATATATTATAATATAGATATCTTATTATCTTATTGTATAATATTATCATCATTTAATATACATATTCATACTTTAAATAAATAAATAAATTATTTTATTTTTTATTAAATAATAAATAATAAATATTTATATAAATACTCAAACCTCAATAGATAGTTTATAAATATCTAAATTTTTTATCCTATAAAAATAAATATATATGATATAAATATTAAAAAATTTAACCCTTGAGTTAAATTGTCATCCCAAAAGTTATCTAATCAATATATTTTAATATTTTTAAAACAAAATTATTTTATAAAAAAATATAAATTTTAAATTAAATTTTTATCAAAGACATGAGTTACATGAGTTGACTCGTTGAGTCTACAGATCATTTCAAAATTGACTTTATTTATATCTCACTCAGGTTAGAGATTATTAGGTTAGTTGGATCTTGAATTAATTTGTAAAGTCAAGCTAAGCTTAATATGTGTTTATAGTAATTAACATATTTTTTTTCCTTTTCTTTCTATAATGATAATACATTGATATTAAAACTTACTAGTATTTTACAAATTTAGACCTAATGAAAGATGACTAGTGAACCAATTTTAGGTAAATTTATTTTTATGTGTATGTCTGTGTGTATAACTTAAATAAATAACCCATAATAATAATAGTAAAGTTAAATTATCATCCCATAGATATTCAATCAATTCTAGATTCTTAGATAAATCTTTTATATCCATTACATTAAATCTTGGGAGAATTTCTGAAATTCGCTCTATAATAAATATATCTTACAATATAAACTCATCATGAAAATCAACCTTTGATATTCGTAGCACTAGTTTCCAAAATATTAATTATACTATAAATATACTCAAACCATTATATACAAATAGTAACCAACTTTCTCTATCAACCTCTAAACATTCTTATCTGTAACCAAAAACATCTAAAATGAATTGAATATTCTTGAAATATATTTTATTATAAACAAAAACTATTATAATAATGAATTTTATAATATCTATAACTTTGAAAATAGATCTTAGTTCTTTAAAAAATTCAAAAAAGAAAGATATGAAATATAAAAATATTTTTATAATTTTGTTACATTACATAAAATTCAAAATTTGTTTTTTAATTGGTTCAGATCATTTTAGATCATTTTATGTATTTGAATAAAATATTATTTTTTAATTGGTTCAGATCATTTTATGTATTTGAATAAAATATTCCATATTTATTTGCAAAGCATGTATATCCTTTAACATGTAAAAATAAAACCTATGTTTCAAAACTTACTAGTGATATTTTTATTGAGTCTGAATATCTACTCTTAAAAAACCTTAAAATCCTTTATAATAGTTAGATTGTAGATGTTATCCCTTGCAAAAACTCAGGTGAAGACATCACTACAAACACAAAACATGTTATCCAACAAAATAACTTCACCACTAACAACCTTAATACCATATGAAAACAACTGTCCAAAATAAAGAAATAAATCCAAAAGACTATTGTTTATCCAGTTGAAACTATAAAACCTTTAGACTAGAAGTTAAAAAACTCAGTATCAAACCATACCAAATTACAAGAACTAGCCAAACTCAATTCCAAAACAATAGAAATGACTTTTTTAAAGTCATTAAAGATCACCTTAACCACCTTGAAGTTTCGCCCTCCACTTTGATCATTGTTGACTCCCCCGCAAGTCAGTAATTATCCTTAAATCTCCACAAGTCACATAAACATTATTCAGAATTACAAAACATAGACCACTAATAAAGAAGCCTTTTAGGAAGAAACTCCTAAAATTAATAAACTTCTTGAGAGAAATCTTACTCCTAAAACAATCATTGCTCCTAATATATCCCTCAATAATGAACTAATTGTTATAAACCAACATCGATTCAATACATCTTCCCTCTATGAATAGAACATAGATTGAATGTCCAAATATAATATCCTAAGCACCTTATAATAAATGACCATAGTTGTCAATGCCTACAAAATCCAAATTGAAACTTCAAATAAAGTTATAGTCGAACTCTTTATAACTGGTTTTGCTGGCCAATTAAACGGATGATGAAATTATCATCTTGCTGAAACCCAACAACTTAAAATCCTTTACTCCATCCAAATGACTAAAGACCAAATATATATACTTAACTTTTATAGAAACACTATCCAAGATGCAGTTTCAACCCTCATTTTAACTATTTTTTTATATTTTATAGGAGATCCTTTCCATTTTAAAGACAAAAATATTGAACTTTTTTCCATATTAGATACGAAAGACTCAATGACTTCTAATGATATAAAAATACTTTTTTCACTCATGTCATGCTTCAAGAAGATTTAAACCAACCCTTCTAAGAAGAAAAATTCCTTATTGGTTTGCCGACCATCCTAGAAGAAAGAGTTAAGAACAAAATCAAAGACATTTTTATCTCCAAAAACTCCCTTATGATCAGGTAACATATGGTGAGCTTGTCGATTTTACCTAAAAAAGGATTTTAATACTTATCAAAACTTTAAAATTAAAAAACACCTGAAGTGGGAAATAAGAAGAGCTACACTAGAACTAGGAAGTTGACACGACTAAAAGATTGATGCCTTCTCCCAAGTGTAGGAGTGTCAAAGTAATAAATAACCCGACAAGACCGGGGTCGAACCATAGGGAGGTTAATTGTACAAATTATAAATAACAATAATACAATAACAATAACAATAACAACAACAACAACAATAATAATAGTAGTAGTAGTAGTAGTAGAAGAAGAAGATGATGATGAGAACTTTGAGATGGAATATTGATGTAAGGATTAAACAATGATAATAACAAATGTCAAGGTTAGAGGTTCCACTAATGGTATGTCAAACAAGTATAGTATAAACTCTTATTATTCAATTGGAAACCACACACAAAGGAGGTTCCAATCAGATTATAGATTGTTAACATGATTACATTAGCCATCTTATTCAATTAATGCTAATACTCGTAAATCTCGTCAAGCATTCATGATTATAACTTATGTTAACAACAAATCAAGTTCCTTTCATAGCTCAGGTGTCGGTTATACCATACAGTATGGGCTATGAAAGTGCCAAGCATTTGTTGTACCAAGTGTTATACAACATAAATCAAGATTAATCATTTAACAAGCAAAGTATTAAAGAGTAAACAAGATAACAAATATAAAACATGTTAGTATCAAACATTAAAGTCCATATTAAGTTTACACTATACTTATTCTTACACCATTAGTGTAACCTTTTCACCTTGACATAACTAACTTAGCTAGACATAATGAAAGAAAGCAAAATAGATAAACAAAATAAGAACATAAAAGTTAACTAAGTAAAGGAAAGGAAATGAAAGGCATAAACTTAATATTAATGAAAACAAAGCATAAAAAATACAAAGAGAGAAAGGAAGAGCATGATCTTGATCTGGAAATCAAGATGCCTAAATGCATGGCAAATGCCTCCTTTTATAGGCCAAAAATGGGAACTATTGATTTGATGACTAATTGATAAGTGGGTGACCAACTTTTGACTTGGTGACAATCCTTATCTTCTCTTGTCTGCCCAAAACGTCATTGATAACGTCAAAACTGGAGCCAGTTGCAAACATGAAAGTTGTAGGCAATTGTCTCAGATTTCTTGTGTAAACATTTCAGCTTATTTGGACTTCTAGAACTCTAGATATGGCCAAAATACCGAACAGTGCTCGGGCTGGAAGATAGATTCGGGCTTCTTTGTTGTTTGCAATAATTTGAACTTGAAATGATCTTTTTAGATCCTGGGCTCCATATGAAAGTTACAGGCATTTCCATCCATATAAAGTAGACCTAAATCTGAGATCTATAGCTCCAGATATGACCCAATTACCGAACAGTGTTCCGGTTTGGATTGCACCGACATCTCTTCTCTAAGTTTGACCATCTCTTTATCCATGCAATTTAAGTTCTTCAACTCATCAATCAATCCTTTCATTTATGTGATAGGCCTGCATTAAAAATAGACATTTACCACAAATTATAGGTATCTTATATTATTAGATACATTATTATAAAACATATTTTAGTTAAGGAGTTATTGATACTTCAAGTGCAAAATGATAATATAAAACCATGATAAAAATGCACTTTTAAGTACTAATCACACCCCCCAACCAGCTTATTACTAGTCCCTAGTAGTTTTTGTCAACAATTTGACATATCCTTACCAAAGTCAACTTGTGGTGGTTCACGCTCCAAATCTACTATCTCAAAACCTAACAAACCACTTAATAGAAGATCAACTCATAAACACAAAAAATGTTTTTATACTAAATATTAGTCCTATTATAAAAAGATAATTACTAAACCTATAAAACCTTTTTAGTCAAAACAAAAACTCAAACCTAAAATTGACCTTAAAAACATTACTTGTTACGATTGAGATAAAAAAGAGAGAGTCATACCTCTAAATTTTATTGAATTAATACAAAGTTACATGAACTACAATTAAAAGAATAAGGCATCCACTATATCCAAAATATTTTGGTTGAAACATCTAAGACTAAATCTAGCATGTCAGACATTTTTGAAGAACTCTTCCTAATAAATGAGTTAGCAATATTTAGTACTGACTTAGACATATCAAACCATAACACTTCAAAACAAATAAATGTCTTAACCTAAGATGAAAAATTTATTCTTAAAGCTATCAAAAGACTTAATAATCTTTAATTTCAACAAAAACTATATGGAAAAACTTATAAG